GGCATGAGTACTGTGCTTTTTCTATACACTTTTTCTATTGACCTACTTGATAAGAATCCTCGGGAGAATCACCCATTTAATCCACTTCAATTTTACAACTGTAGATGAGACTGAATAATTCTCACATATGGAAAACTGCAACAGGATTGGGTTTTGATGTCCTACAGCAGAACAATGGGGCTTTTGTAAGCCTTCAGTGGATAGCTGTGACCTGCCAAGAGGGAGGAGACATGGGGACACAGCATTGTGTCATACCAAATATTGCTATAGTAGGTCTAGAGATTGTTTAGAAGCATAAGCAGGAGGAGCTCCTCAGCTGGGCAGCTGAGAACTGAAAAATGCCTCAGGAGGAGAATTTCTGTGAGTGTTGGGACCCATCCTATTTAATATCTTTATTGATGATCTGGAGATGGGGATTGAGTACACCCTCAGTAAGTTTGTAGATGACACCAAGCTGGGAGGAAGTGTTCATCTGCCTGGGGTTAGGAAGGCCTTACAGAGAGATCTGGACAGGATGCACCAATAGGTGGAGGACAATTATATAAGTTTCAACAAGATCAAGAGCCAGGTCTTGCATTTACATCACTACAGGTACATCACAACAACGCTACAGGTTTGGGACAGGGTGCTTGAGAGTCTGTGTGGAGGAAATGGGCCTGGGGGTGTTGGCTGATGTTCAGCTGAACATGAACCAGCAGTGTGCCCAGGTGGCCAAGAAAGCCAACGTTATCCTGCCTTGTGTCAGCAATAGCATAGCTGGTAGGACTAGGGAAGTGATCGTCCCTCAGTGCTCAGCTCTGGTGAAGCTGCACCCCACTACAGGAAAGACATTGGGGCCAGGAGTATGACAAGAGAAGGGTAACAGAGCTGTGAAAGGTCTGGAGCACAGCTCCTGTTAGGAGCAGCTGAGGGAACTGGAATGATTCAGTCTGTAGAAGAGGAAGCTCAGGGGAGACCCTAAGACTCTACAATAACATGAGATTGTAGTAAGGTGGGGTGGGCCTCTGCCCCCAGTCAATGGTGATAGGATGAGAGAGTATGGCCTTAAACTGCACCATGGGAGGGCTCAGGTTGGAAAAAATTAGGAAAAAATTTCTTCTCAGAAAGAGTGGCAACACATTGGCACAGGCTGACCAGGGAGGTGGTGGAATCAGCATCCCTGGACGTGTTCAAGAACTGTGAGGATGTGGCACTGAGGAATATGGTTGGTGAGCATGGTGGGGATGGGTTGGGGTTGGACTTGGTGATCTTAGAGGTCTTTCCAACCTTAATGATTCTATGCCTCATCCCTGGAGGCATTCAAGGCCAGGCTGGATGTGGCTCTGGGCAGCCTGAGCTGGCGGTTGGCGACCCTGCACATAGCAGGGGGTTGAAATTCAATGATCATTGTGGTCCTTTTCAACCCAGGCCATTCTATGATTCTATGATTCTATGATTCTATGATTCTATGATTCTACAACTCATATTCGTAGGGAAAACATCATGTTCTGCAGCTTCAGGGCTCCAAGGTGATAGCTAAAGCAGAAACACTTTGAGGGGCAGAGTCCTTGATACTACAGATCTATTTTATGTAGTAAGACATTAAGTCATGTTCTTGCGTTCAGATACTTCAATTTCCAAATTGCTTTGTAAATATATAATTTATGAAGTTTAAGAACACGTTAAGACAAGGATTTTGCTAAGGTTATCATTTAAAATGAAAAGGGATCAAGAGAGGACAAACCAAACTGCATGAGTTGCACAATGTCCATCGGGATGGTGCCTTTTGTGGGTGACATCCATGGAGATTTCATCATCTTAATTTGTTGGATTTAGACAGAAATAATTTTCATTCAAAGGCTCTGAGTAAAGCCTTATAATTCACACATCATCAGCATGTTTGTCTTTTCTCTCAGTTTCAGCAAGCCCAAACAACAAACATCATTTTCTCCTCTCACTCCCACGCAATCCCTCTTGCACAGCATCCCCAGGCGAACACCCCCTGTAGTCTGGGTAATGGAGAATGGAGCAAGAGCAGCAGAGACATCATAGATGGTGGTACAAGCAATTCCTTCTTCCATGGGATGATTGTGGAGCATTTTGCAAACATTAATTAAAAGAAATGAGAATGAACATCCTTGGTCTAATTTTAGAAAGAGGAACAGGCTTCTTATCCTGCTGCTGAGCTCCAAAGACAAGCTCCAAGCTCTTTCATCTCTGGATCCCGGATCATTTTTCATCATTAGTTATTCCTCTAAACTGCAAGGGATATGCAATCTGAAAAACAAAGCATGAATTAAAGATCTAGTTCCCCTTTTCCCAGTACATACCTCTTTCTCTGGTTGGGAAGAGATGTGCATTGCTTCACTCAGAAGTTTATACAAATACGCCCAGCTAGGACACGGTGTGCTAAGATGCAGAACCCACTTGTAAGGTCTTGGTGTGCATCTCCTGAGCAGAATTTACTGCCATGTTGAGCACTGACCTGATGGAACCCTCAGGAGATTAATCCCTTTGTCAACCAATTGTTATCACTGTTGAACAACTGCCATTGCTGCATGGAAGCACAGCTCTCAGCTGCATCTCTCAAGCAGTGACTAAGTGGAGGGATCTCCACCAGCTGGGAATGATCCTATCTCCTCTCTTTTGTTTCCAGCCTCATGACATTTTATGGGTGGAAGCCACTGACGTTTGCTATCTTTTGGAGGCAAGTGAGAATGGGATTGGTGTACAGTTGGAGCTTGCAGGATGCAGGCTCACTCCTGGAAAGGCTTATGAGCCATGCTAGCTAAGCACTGCTATGTGGCTTCCACTTGGGAGCTGGCATGTGTCTGTGTGGCTTGGGATATGGACAGGATCAGCTTATATTTGTCTGTAAGGGGTTGAATGAAGAAGTTGTATTAATGCAGACACATTCAGCATGTTTGCTATAGAGGGTGTCATAAAGAGGTGTTATCTGGAGCTCATGTCAGTGGTGACCACAGCTTTGATAAAACTTATTCACTTTAAATGAGATAGAGTCCCTGTGCCTATAATTTTCCCATCCAATAAAGCAGAGCTGAAAGCACTTTGACAAAGTCTGAGAATCTGAATTCCTACCAGATTGCTTTGGATTGAAGGATTTGCCGTCTCCAGCTTCACAGGACTGTGCTTTCCATATCCTAACACTTGAAGCACTGAAACAGGTTGCCCAGAGAGATTGTGGATGTCTCATCCCTGGAGACACTCAAGGTCAGGCTGGATGGGGCTCTGGGCAACTGATTGGGCCGTGGGTGTTTCTGTTCAATGCAGAGGAGTTGGACCAGATGGCCTTTAAAGGTCCCTTCCAACTCAAACAATTCTATTCTGTGAATCAAATTACAGAATGGCTTAGGTTAGAAGGAATCTCAAAGATCATCCAGTTCCAGTGCCCCTTCTATGAGCAGTTTTGCCAACCACTAAATGAGGCACTAGCTCAGGCTGCCCAGGGTTCCATCCAACCTGGCCTTGAGCAACTCCAGAGATGCTCAGTGAAAAACTTTCCCCTTACATCCAATCAAAATCTTTCCTCTTTTAGTTTAAAACCCTTTGTCCTGCCACCATCTATCATGTAAAAAATTGACTTCCTTCTTGTTAACAAGTTCTTTTTAAATACTGGAAAGTGATCCTAACACTATGTTGATACTTTTTCCCCCTCTCTGACATCATTTGCTAGAAGCTAAATGACTCTTTGGAATCCCAAAGATCAAACTACCCGTTGGCTAGTGGACACCCTGAGAGATACAGGCTCTCATTTCTTCCTGAAAAACTCTTTCATTTAGCATTTCTAAGGGAGCAGTTGAAGTGATGTAGGGGCCACTGACCTTTCATGCTGGAGCTCATAGAATTGGTTGTCCATTTGGAAACATAGAATCAGAATCGGTCAGGTTGGAAAAGACCTTAAAGATCATCAAGTCCAACCACGACCTAACCAAACTGCCCTAACAACCCTCCACTAAATCATGTCCCTGAGCACCACATCCAAACGGTTTTTAAATATATCTAGGGATGGTGATTCAACCACTTCCCTTTTCCCTCAGTGCCCACTGGCAGGTCTTCCAGATCTCATTATTCTTTTTGCAGTTATTTCTGCGCTGTTTTCTGGAGTGCTTTTCAAATTTTTCTAATGAATTCTTTGTTCTGATCTGTTCCATTTCATGTCTGACTCTTTTTAAGTCATCAGCTTTCAAATGTCTTTTAAAGCTTGCCCATACTTGGGATGTGTAAAATGGAAAACTAACATTTGGACAAAAGGTTCTCAGTCCATTATTAATTTAAGCTGTTTATATTAACAAAACTAGATGCGTGGTGGTGACTAATGTGTTTAAAAGCTCTTTGACACTGTGGGATGAGAGAAGTGGAAACTATTGTTATTGAAATGGAAATGGCTCCCAACTCTTGTTTCTGAATGACAGTTCTTGACTTCCATCAGGACTTGGCACCTATAACTCCAGAGCAGTTGAAGTACTGAGTTGCCTCTGTGGGAGCTCTAAGAGGTCACTTAATCTAGAGTAGTTGTCTTTCTCTGTGACACCAGAGATACTGTCCAGCTTGGGTGTCTGGACTTCAGGGAGTGACTGGGGCATCACCTAGGTAGCAGCTGAAATAAATCACACCAGGGCAACCTCACAAAATGCCCTGAACCTTTCTTTCAAGTCTTTATGTAGATCTCTCTATTTCCTACTTGTCTCCAAGAGACACGGATACACATAGTTGGATGCATTAATCTTAGGAACATGGTTGTGATATGTCAGTGGTTAATGGCCTTTCCCCACCTTAATGATTCTGTGATTCTATGAGTGGACATGGTGGTGATGGGTTGATAACAGGATTAGATGATTTTATTGGCCTTTTCCAACCTTAATTATTTTGTGATTCTAACTTATTGTACTGCAAATGTGCTTTTCTGTGATAAGTGATTTTCTGATGCCAGCTTTCTCATGCATGCATGAACTGACTGTGGTGCCATGTTTGACATCTAACAATAACCAATTTCCCTGCAGAACCATGAGACTATACATTGTCTTCCTCCTGTCAGTGGTGAATGGAGGGATGTCCAATCATCAGCCTGCTGAGGGGATGCCCTGTGAAATGGTAAGGCCACCTTGGGATCTTGGATGAGGTTGCAACTCTCCATTACAGGTGCTGCCCAAATAATGATGCTCTCTGTAAAGAGAGTTCTGTGGAAAGGTTTTCCCTGTTGGCAAAGATGGGCTTTGCTGTGTTAGTAGATGTTCTGAAGACTGCTCTTGGGTTATGACCATTTCTCATTGCAGCCACAGCACATACAAAGGGAAAAAAAGGGAAGGACATCGTCTTTGTTTTTTCTAAGGGTAGTTAGTTAGAAGAAATTTGACCTGATTTCCCCAAGACTGAACAGGCATCCTGTGACTGAGGCAGAGAGGGAGCTTAGACCTGAAATCCACTTCTTTACATCAGGCCTAAGTTCTCTGTGCTTTAAATAAAGCTGCTTCTGTGAAATACATCTACAGCAGCCTTTGTAATATCATTGTGACTGACCTCTGCCCTGACAAAGCATTGCTGTCAGGGAGTCACACCTGACTTCTAAAAAAAGTGACAAAGCCTTTGGCTCCTGTACAAAATTTTCTCCTTGGATTTTTGCAGGCACCTGGTACAATATTATAAATATTATTCATAGCTGAACTTTCTGCTATACAAGTGCTGCTGACAGTAGCATGCCATTTAAAAATACTTTTTTTTTTTTTTTTAATGTTGAAGCTGTTCAGCACAAATCCTTGAGAATTTCCAAAATAGGGAAAAAAAATAATTTGCTAGCTGTACACATCTCCCTTATGGGACTCATTCCATTCCTGCCCACCCTGCTGCATTGCTCTGCTTCCTGAATTCCAGAGAAATTAAGACCTAGTATATATAGAAAGATCTTGGGAAGGTGGCTGGATATCTCAGCTCATTGGCTGCCAAGGGAAGACTGATGAACCCACTGTAAACATGACAGCTTGGGTCCCATGTATCATAGTCACATGAATGCCAGGCGAGACATGCAATAATCTGAGCAGATTTCACTCTGTCCCATTTCTTGATGGGTCACAGATCAGGCTGATTGCTGAGAAGTAAACACATGCTTGTTTCCACCACTCCACTGTAAACTGCTTCCAACAGGCCAATTGCACGGGCCAAAAATCCAAGGCTGTACGCAATGAGTCTGGGATAAATTCAGGTCTGGCCACAGCTGGGGGTTGGGATGCTCATCTGGTATAAATTAACAGCTCAGCACTGTTAAAGTCAGTGCAGCTTTGCCACTCTTCATTTGCTGAGCATTTCATCCAATGGAAGGAGGAGGGTGTAAAACTAAACACATTTCCATGCAGTATAAAGAGGTTCCTGGGCTTGCTGATGTGCCCACTGGGACTTCCACTTATTTCATAGAATGATTTTTTATCACAGCATCTTTTTTTTACATGTTACCTTCCCTGCAGCGGCACCTTTAAGATAAGAAAGGCTCAGAATTGAAAAGTTTCATCCCAGTTCTCCTGGAAGAGGCATAACTCAGAGACCTGGGTGTCTCATTACTCACGTTCTTGTAGGTGCACTGATCTTGTACGGCTTTAGGAGGTAAAATGTCCCTTAAAGCCATTACCTTTCTACTGAGCTAGGTTACAGCCAGCCATCTGCTCCCTTACAAGACAAGAAGGTGCAGCTTCAATGTTAAAAAGTTCTTCCTAGCTCACATTGCCTACCAAGGAGAGAATTTTTCACAAGTTCTTCCTCCTAAAAAAAGATGCGTCTGCTAATTCACGTTAACTGACAAAGGAAAATCTTCCAATAAAACATACAAGGGAAAGGTTTTCATAAAATTTTGTATTAGTTTGCATCAGTGTCATGCAACAATATATCATACTGGTTATCATGGGTTATCAGCCCACACGTGGTGCATATGCAGATTGCATTGTGTGGTGAAGCCTTTACCTGGACAGCACTTACAAAGAACATACAAGCTGGCCCCAGATAGCTACAGCCCAAATTCTTCGGCTCCAACACCCATGAGAAGATACGGAGGAACAAGGCCTTGGATCCAGCTGCTTTGTTTGCAGGGCTGTCACTAAGATGGGTGACAACTTCTACCCTGTGAAGGACTGGAGTCAGAATTCAAACGATGGTCAACTTTTGAGTTGTAGGGTCATTTTTTCACCAGAAGACAAACATGAAATGAACCAAGTGTTCCACACTCCTCCCAATGGGCTTTAAATAATCCAGTGACAGCACCAACAGAGATGATTAAGTGGGAACATGGGAGTGACAGAAACTTCTCCAGCCAACTCACTGAGCTACAGGGGGAGAAGGGGAGATACACACAGAAACAGACACTGTTTGCTCAGTCCCATTGAGATGCACTTCATTTTTCCATTCTGGTGCTGAGGAGAATGAGATTCATGCAATTTGAGCCCAGAAGGGAGAAAAGATGGTGTAGAACAGACTAGTTAAGAAATTCAGCAATGATCAAAATAGTGAAACCAATGAAAATCGGGAGGTAAAATGTTATAGGAACAAACATCAGACACTGTGAGGTACAGATTTTTTCAGACCCTTTTATCACTTGGAGAGTTCAGTGCATGCAGATTAAAGGCCCAATCCTGCAAGATTGTGGGGAAGTGGTGAATTGGGACTGAGTTCTCCATCATGGCCTTCAATGAAAACCTGAATGGCATTGGTGGGCAATGGATGTTGCTGGTTACTCAGAGGGTGCAGAGTGTACTCAAAGTGTGTGATTTAATCCCAGAATCATAGTCATAGAATTGCTTGGGTTGGAAAAGACCTTCAAGATCATCGAGTCCAACCCCAGATCATCAAGTCCAACTGCAAAATCAGATCTTTGGGAAGGTTAGACCATGGGAAGGACTGTGGAAAAGCCTGTGTATATCTGGCATTTAAATGAGTCTTACAATTCTCCATCACATTTTTATGTGCTCTTCAAAACTCTCATGATGCAAAAGAGGGTCACAAAATATGGACCATTGCCCCACTTCTCCTAACTGGATCCGTCACTTCATTCGACTAGAAGTTCACATGAAACATATGGTTTATAATATTTTTTTAAATTAATGTTTCTGTAATGTTGGAAAAGCTAATGCAGAGCTTTACGTCATGGAATCTGGATTCTTTTTCACAGAAGTTAAAATTCATCAGATTTTTTTTCTTTCTTTCTTTCTGATCTTTCTACAAACAGTACATGACCCGGTCACCCATATACATTCATAACAAGAGTTTTCTTCCAGTAGATTAAATGCTGTCTAAGCCTTTTGCATTCCACTTCCTCCCACTGCTGTGTGTTCTCCTTAATAACAAAATACAGCTTGACATTTATGCGAGGATGATTATCTCAGTGTTGCCAGCGTTCCTTATGAACACACATTCCAAATTTTCCTTTGGACATGGATTCAATCTTAGGTGCAATTAAACAGGCATGTATTTAGGAGATGAAGTTGATGAAATTGAATTTTCCTCCGCCCTGTTGCTGGGAAGTGGGTGAAAAAAGTTGTGACCATCACCACATAACTTTTTCTCCTCAAAGCTGGCTTTCCATGATTTGTCTTCCCTGCTGCATTCATACAAGCATAGAATCATTAAGATTGGAAATGATCTCTAAGTTCAACTAGTCCAACTGTCCAGCAATACTGCCCACTAATCGTGTCTCTAAGTACCACATCTTCACTGTTCTTGAATACCTCCAGGGATGCTGACAACATCAATTCCCTGAGCAGCCTGTTCCTAATGTCCAACACTATTATGTCCAGTATGGATGATACATGGGGATGAAGCATATGGATGGAGCATAAGGAATGCACCCCATGAGAGGAAATAGGAATTATTGCCTTAGGAAAAGGTTTCCTATGTAGAGCATAAACAGAAAGAGTTTGGAAGTTTGTATCAGTAGTGTATGAATAGCTGAACGACTCGGTTTGTTAGGGGCACATTGCTTATCTAAGCCATGTCTCTAAAAGAAGGCAAAATCAACTACTTGAGGGGCATGACTAACAAAGAGAGAGCTTATGATTTGTACCATACTAATCTTTATCTTCCATGTCCCTGCTTTGGGAACTATGCTGCCAACAGAGAGGAGCCCTTCTTAGTACCACTTCTTGCACATAGAGTTTGCAGAATCCATGAGAGTGATTTAGAATAAAGCTGAGAAAGGCAAAGATGAGAAGAAAAGTGAGGAAAAAGTGCTTGATTACAATGGAAACGAGGAAAATTGGAACTATTAAAATAAGCCTGGGAAAAAGGAGAATATGTAGTAGATGATATACACAGATACAACTCTACTGGTTTAAGTTAGGTATATGAAATGAAAGGAGTGCTAATAGCTAGCTGCAAAGAAGCATTAGAGTGATTGTGCTTACTGTATGAATGTTCAAAGAAAATTATATGAGATGGACCTTACTGGTTATTGAATATTATTTTCTTTAAATTTCACACAAATATGTTTTTCATCTGTCAGGTGACCTCCCATTTTCTCTCTTTTTTTTTTTTTGGCAGGCAAACTTGCAGGCATTTTGCCACAACAAAGACCTTCACCAAATCCCTCATGAGCTCCATCCAAATGTAAACAAGATAGATCTATCTGGAAATCTGATACAAAGCATCCCTGAAATGCCTTTGCCCCTCTACACTTCCCTCCAGTGCCTCGATTTAAGCTCCAACCAGATAAGCTTCATCACGCCTGGAGTCTTTGCACACATGACAAGTTTGCTGGAAATAAATTTAGCTAATAACAACTTGTATGAGCTTGCTCAGATTGGGACAGAAGGGATTGGACTTTTACCCAAGGTGGAGATACTGGACTTGTCTCACAACAGTCTCTACAATGGGATGGCTGAATATTTCATTAAACAGGCTCCAGCACTGCGCTATCTTTCACTGGCAGGTAACAGTATTATAATGATATCACACAAGATGTTTCAGGGATCTCCCAGTCTTGTGGAAATAGATCTTCAGAGTAATATCATCATGGAAATTGAAGAAGGTGCTTTTGAGACTCTACTGAATCTTTCCAGACTGAATCTCTCCATGAATTCAATTACTTGCATCTCTGATTTTAACCTCAGGCAGTTGGAGATACTTGACCTCAGCAGGAACAGCATTGAATCCTTCCATACCACAGCATCAGATGACGAGTACAGCTTAAGATGCCTGGATCTGAGTGAAAACAAACTGCTTCGCTTCCCAGTCTTCCCTCAGGTGAACAAGCTGGTAACTCTGAATTTATCAAAGAATTTAATTCAGCTCACAGCTGAATCCTCTCATAATAAAATGGACTACATGGAGAATGAATGGTTAGATGCTCCTTTTCATCTTCTTGATCAGAAGCAAAGCAGAAACAAAAGTTCTCTTAATTTATCCCAACTTGTATACCTAGACTTAAGCTACAATGAAATCAAATCCATTCCGGATGAGTTCTTCGAATCCATGATGTCTCTTCACACCCTTAACCTCAGTAAAAACTGTCTACAGACTTTTGAAGTAACTTCTGACAGTACATTGGTCTCCTTAACTGTCCTCGATTTGAGCTACAACGCTTTGCAGAGCCTCCTCCTACATGCTGACACACTGTGGAATTTGAAGGAGCTCTATATTCAAAACAACCATCTTCAAACCCTCCAATTTGACATTTTCTCAAGACTTCCAAGCCTCAGATGGCTCAATCTACAGAGCAACAACATCACTCTTTGCAGCATGTACTCAGGATTAGCAAAGCAAAGACTCGCCGGAGAGGAAAATGGTTGCATATCATTTGTTGATGCTCCTGCTCTTCAGCACTTGTTTCTAGCTGACAACATGCTGAGCATCCTACCATCACACACTTTCTTCAAGACTTCCCTGATTTTCTTGGATCTTTCCATGAACCCGGGGTTGACAATTGAAGTTAATGCGCTATCCGGACTGGAACAGTCACTTGAATACTTGCATTTACATGGCAATAGCCTGATAGAATTAAATATCGACTTGCCTTGTTTTAGTCACCTTAGACACTTAAACCTCTCTGAAAATCAGCTGAGTTGGCTGCCCAAGTGGGGCAGTGGCTCTCCACTGGAAGTTCTGGACCTACGGAACAATAGGTTTAGTACATTACAGAACAGCAATATTTTAGCATTAGAAAATTCTCTTAAAAACTTGTATCTCACTGGTAACCCACTCAACTGCTGTGGGAACATTTGGCTGTCATTGATGATCCAGAACAAAAATGTCCAGATCTCGAACATAGAGCATCTAACGTGCCAATACACCCAGAACTTTGGATACCAGGAGGAAATGCACATTGGGAACATCAAACCAGAAGACTGTGAAAAAGAGGATCTAAAGAAAATCAACTTCCTTATTATATTAACAGTTGTGTTGGTTTTATCCGTGATCATCATCGCTGTGGGTTCGTTCTTTTGCTTTCGCAGGCAGACCTTCAGTCAACAGTTTAAAGCATAGCACAGAGATTGCCTTGAAAACCGAAGAAATCAGGTGCTACACTGCCGCCGTGTAGAAATGAAGAGTAAAATTCTTCTCCTTGACTTTTAACTGTGGATTTTAAGGCAGTTTCACAGCTCCCCTGAACTACCCCACTATAGGGTTGCAGGGAATTAAGGGAGAGTTTACCACATTCTGCATTTGCTTTGTTCACAAGCAGACCTGCCTAAATGTTCACAGAGCTGTAGTAGACTCTGTAAAGCCCTGTGGTTGTGAGGGAGATGTGATTTAAACCAGACCAAAAGAGAAAGCCCTCTAAATCAGGAGACATTTCGCTAAACTCAGAGATGCTTTGTTGATGTCACCTCCATAGAGAGGCTTCATATATACATATATATACATACAACACTATAGATATCCATAGTGTTATAGCAATCACTTTTTTTTATGCCAGTTGTTGATGACATCAGCTGAATAGGAAAGCCCTTCTCAAACTAGTTTAACTCTATGAGATGTTACTCCTTACACTGAGATTTGTGTGTGTGTATGTGGTTTTTTTCTCCAAAAAACCTCAGAAATGAGATCTCCTAAACATTAAAATGAAATCACAAAATCACCAGGACAGCCCAAAGCAGGATCTTTCACTGTAACAGAAATCTCAGGTGTGAACCCAGACTTGCTCAGAAGGTCGCAGGTCCACAGTTCAACTCAAAGAGGAGAAATTTGCCTCTCTTGTGCAATACATATTTAACTGGGTTTAATGTGAAGAAATTCATCTCTGGGGTGGACACTTTCTAAAAGAAAAGTCTTAGAGAATGAATTTCAATCGGCTATCTTTGGACTGAAATGTTTGTATTTCTAAGGAAAACTGTTGGGAACTCACTGCATACAGTTGCATTTCAATGCAAAAAGATGATGATTATATATCTATTTTTAAAGGTCACAGGAGGCTAGACATGTTTTAAACACAAAAGTGTGAAACAAGGTGCAGGGAACTGAGTCCTGGGCCATTATTCAGATCAAAGGTCCACTATCTTTCCCTACTGAGGACTGGTTGCTAGCAGAAGTCTGTAGATCTTCAATCTGTGATGGGTTTAATATGATCAACCTGTTGTGTTGCTAAAAGCAGACACTGACATATGTTATGTCCTGTACTCTGATGGCAGATTCACCCTTTTGGATTGGAAAAAAAAACACTTTCCAACAGCAGGAGCCTGACCTATCTACGGGACCCAGTGACTTTGAAAGGAGCCACAATGGGTTCTCTGTTAATGCCAGGAAATGTGCATTTCAGCACATAAGAGAAGTAAAAGTCAAACCAAAACCTGTTCAGGTAAATAACTCAGAGTCAAATTGCTGCTCCACTACTTTTTTCTTCGTGCTGGTGAATGTCAAAATTAACACACTACAGAAAGATGTATAATTCTATTTTTAAAGCAGATGTGTAAGTAACCAGCTGGTCATTTCTGTTGTGGGATTTTATACAATAAAAACACCTTTGAATTTTGTAAAATACACAGGGAAGTGAAGATATTAAAGCACCAGCTTGGAATACTCCACAGGTGAAAAGTTATGTCTTCCTATTCTTTCTATGGTGTTCAGACTTTAGGTCTATGACTTCCAATCCCAGATGGGATATATCTTAAGAGTACAACCAATGAACGTAAAGGAGATCTGATGAAGATGTACACAAATGATGTTGGAATAATGATGTTGGCAAAGCTACTTGGCAGGGCCATGCCACAGTGGTTCAATATGTGCGAATCACAAAATCACTGAGTCACAGAATCACAGGTTGGTTGAGATTGGAGGGGCTCATCTGGGCTAATCCCCTTGTTCAAGTAGGGACATCAAGAACACATTGCTCAGGACAACGCTCAAACAGTGAAAAGCCAATGAGAGCCAGCACTGTGCTTTCTTTCAAGCTCTTACTCTTTCAGGAGAAAGTTTGCACAAGCAACAATCCCTGGGCTTAGTTGGAATCCCAGTGCTGCAGTCCTTGAGCTTTTCCTTTGATGTGAAAGCAAGCTGTGCTGTGTGCCCCGACATGGGCAATTTAGCCATATTCTGAGTTCATGCTTTTCTTATTGAGCACAGTAAGATAACATCTGCTTCTGAGGCACAGTCTTAGCTCGACTGCCATGACTGGAATTAGTTAATAACCTGACGACAGAGCCAAACCCATTTAATTAACAGTTTTAACACTGCTTTTTTTTGGCTGTACCAAAAGGAAGTGCTTGTTATTACTAAACATCTGGGACCAATTAGGCTTCCATTGACTTCCATGGGAGCAGAAAAGCTTTCTCGAGGAATAGGCCCCAGGAGTAACGTGCAGCATGGCTCATTTGGATTTCTCTGTTAGCAACATAAGCAAGTGAGAAGTGACATGAGCCTGTTCTTGCCAATTTGGTTATTTTAAATGGGATGAGGAGTGTGAGGGAAAGGAAATGTGAATAAAGGAGTTAGAAGAGGGAAAATTGGGAGAAATTGAAGAATTCAATGCTCTTATTCCTCGAAATAGGGGTACAGATATGTTAGCCCCAAATCTTGAAGCTCAAACATTAAAGTATCTGTTCCTGCTCCAAATCTAGCTATTACTCTTACATTACACATTTTTCCACCATTTATCCATGTTATCTCAGTAAGTTGGAAAGATACAGGTAAGCTTTGATTTTGTAATCTCGGTTTGCACCCTTATAGAATCATAGAATCATAGAACAGCTTGGGTTGGAAGGAACCTCAAGGATCACGAAGCTCCAACCCCCTACCACATGCAGGGCCACCAACCTCCACATTTAATACTATAAAAGGCTGCCCAAGTCCCCATCCAGCCTGGCCTTGAACACCTCCAGGGATGGACGGGGCATCCACAACCTCTCTGGGTAGTTGTTCTAGCACCTCACCACTCTCTTAAAGAGAGTAAGAGGGTAAAGAATAGATTCCACTTCTAAATTCCTCTTATAGATTTCTCTTTCATAAAGTCCCTGCAACAACATCTGCTTATGCAAAGGGAGTTTGTGCTAACACAAGAAATGTCTTTCTGGGATTCTAGGATGTGGAAGATTTATGAAGAAAATGCAACTTTTTTGCCATTGCAAGCAGCACACAACTTCCTCTCCAAGTTTGCCTGTGGAGTAGAACAACAGATCTCTTTCACGTATTTCCTATCACACAATTGCTACACATGAGATTCTAAGTGGTTCCTGTAATTTGTTCCCAAAAACGATTCTCTGCAGGGGGATCAGAAAGATGTAAAACAGTGAGGCAATGGAGAACTTCCAGAGTGGGACACTGAAAGCTCAGCAAGTTCTGACTGGTTTGGTCGTCCATGGAAAGATCACTCTTTCAGAGAAGAAGTTCATTCAATCTAAATTATCAGACTTCATTGAATGTTCTTCTTCAATACAAATAGCTTGCAGTATCAGTGGCTGCATATTTCTGTTTCATGCTTGTCTTTGTGAAGCAGATTGATCAAGATTTTCAGAAGTGACCAATGATTATTTCAGACATTTCAACATTTTCATCTTGCACCTGGCCCATCCTGTAAAAAGCTAAATTATCCAAAAATCTGGGTCCCTCTCATGGCCAGACAGTGTTAGGAAAAGGAGGAATGGTTTTAAACTGAAAGAGGAGATTTAGGTTAGATCTGGAAGAAATTTTTTTATTCAGAGAGTGGTGAAGCCCTGGCATGGGCTGCTCAGTAAAACTGTGGGTGCCCCATCCCTGGAGGTGCTCAAGGCCAGGCTGGCTTAAGCCCTGGGCAGCCTGAGCTGGTGAGTAGCAACTCTATCCATGGCAGGGGTGGTTGGAAACCCTCCAAACTAAGCTATTCTATGATACCAACCCAACCATTATGTGTTTCTGCAATCTCCTCTCAAAACCAGACCTCTCAAGTATGTCTTGCACATTTCCCAATGAGACTTAAACTGCAGAGGTTCGTACACATCTTTATTCACTTGAGAATCTCCTTGCTAATGATAGTTGCCCACCATGTCAGTGTTATGAGTATTTGAAGAGCTGAAATACAGCAAAGCTACTGATGAGTGGCTCCTCTGCCCTGTGGTCTGCTCTCAGAAGGGTGAGTTAAATACCCCATCATTCACAGAGCAGTTATTCACCTAGCTTCACTTGGGTAAAAGATGAGGATTAACCACAGGGAATGAAGAAAAATGAACTCGAGGGTCTGCAGCTTTCTGGCAGCGTCACAACTATCCAGATGGAGCAGATTTTAGTCTCATAGGTCATGGCTTGGTGAGGGGCCAAGCAGAGTTGGCCAAGAAACAGAAGGAAATGGGGATGAGAGGAGCTGAGAGCCATTGAGGAGGAAACAATGGGACAGGGAAACTAAAAAAGTGTTGATGTAATACTCTCCAAAATGAAAAGCATCCTAGAGAGCTGAAAGTGAGTAGTAATTACCCACTGCTCCCCAACTCACCAATGAGGTGAAACTGAAACAGAAAGAAAAGAAACTGCATAAGCAGATAAAAGCTTTCTAGGAAGGCTATCAAATTACACAACTTCTTTCACATGCAAAGGCATTTCATGACCAATGCAACATGATACTAAATAAAATACTGGTAAATATAAGGGGACAGACCTGCAACTTGGAGAGGGAGAATCACTTTTCTCCCATGATATTTTTTCAGTTTTTTTGTCATGCAGGGCCAGGTTAGTTCTACAGATGTTCTCCTCCTGTTCAGTTGTAGCGTTCATTACATCAAAGACATGCACTTTCCAGGTTCAGAAGTGATATCCAGTGTTCCTTTGATACCATGACCATACCCAGGAGAGTGAATGAATTTTGCAACAGCAAACAGCAAAGGTGACATCAAGAAACATACGTTTATGAAGAAACATTCTGGAAGGTGAAAACAGAAGAGATTAATCTCTACTGTTTCTGACTTCTCCATAAAATAGGGTGGTGAGGAGAGTTTGGGGACCTGGCAACAAGAGGAGAGAAGAAGGGAAATCCATTTTCATGCAGGAAAGTCACCAAGGAGAAGGAGTTTTGCAACGGATGACTGAAGAGGATGCACGGGGTGAGGAGAACTGGAGAATAAGCACAGCTAAATCAGGAATTTGGAAGAGGAACAAGGGTGGAATGGTTAGGATGAAATCATGAATAAGAAAGTAGAGTGTGGACGAATAATGGCAGAATGAAAGAAAGGCAAGCTGCATACTGCTTTAGCTAAATTTCTGTATTTAAGTTGTATTTTGTTACTGTGGGGCTGGTACTGGGAGAGTGGCATTGTTTAAGCCCTTCATTTGTGATCTGGGTGGTGGGACAGAGCCTTCACCATGTTTGCAGATGATACCAGGTGAAGCAGTGGTTGACATACTGGGACAAAGCTGCTATTCAAAGGGATATCCCACAGTAAAGGAATGATCCTACAGAAACGTCATGAAGTTCAGCAAAGATCTGCACTTTGGATAGAACAAGCTTGTCTAGTCTGGGAACTACTTGACCATAGCTTTGCCAAAGTGATTTTGCTAAAGAGGACCTGAGGATACTGGTGGACAAGAAGTTGTTCATGAATCAACATCATGACCCAGTGAGAATGAAATCTAGCTGAATATTCAGCTACATTCATAAAATCTGAGTTGAGAAATCAATGCATGCTGTTTTTCCCCTCTGCTTGGCACCTCTAACACCACATCTGGATACTGTGTCCAGCTGTTGGCCTCCCAATGCAGAAGAGATGTGGATGAACTGGAGCATGTTCAGTGGGGCTGGAGTATATAATATCTGAGGAAGAGATGGGAAAAACAAGATTTTTTCATGTCAAAGAAACCATGGGGGAAAATCTTTTGGCAATACTGGAAGGGCAGTTAGAAAGAAGACAGATGGTAGTCAATACCTAACATTGGAGTCGATCCCGTTCTGATCTGGGAGATGGATTGGAGCCCTCCAGAGACCACTTCTAATCTGAATTATTCTATGAGTCTCTACAAAAAATAAAAAAATAAAAAAAAGGAGACCGAGTCATCTTTTTATGAATGGGTAGAGAAAATTCTGAAGACAGCCTCTTCAGCTGTAGAAGGGATTTGGCAGTCCAAGCGTCCTCAGAGCTGGTAAAAGTTGTTGATGTTGATGTCAGAAGTGGGTCTTCTGGGAAGACCACAGTCCAGCTACCTAGTTAGCTGAACCTTTCTTCATCCATCAGCTCTCATGGTGATGCTTACATCTAGACACCCACATTGAAGTGTCTCAAGCCTGAGCTAAAGGCTCAAGTCACTTGCATAAGGATATTGGCAGTAGGTTTAGTCTTTGGCAAGAAACTGGTGCCATTTAGGATGTTTCTGATGTTTGGGCTACAAAAATACAGAATTTTCAGGTGCAAAATAGCATGCAGAGGAAACCTTGTTATTCCAGCTGGCCTACAGCTGGAGGCCAAGTAGCATAACCCAGGGTATCTCAAAGGCTACCAAGTATGTTTCTAGGCATCCAGTCAAGCCCAGTTGGATAGAACAGTCCAAGTCTGTTGCATAAGAAGTCAGAATTACTTTGAAGAAGATATCCCAATTCCTTTGCTTTACCTGGTTGTTATGATAGATCTGGTCTCCGAAATTTAATGTCACTTCACTCTCAAAACCAGAAATTAAGACTGGTTTTCAGCCAGGAAGCCATGCAAAAATTTTCTGTCTGTGCATATTCGATGTCATGTTATGCGTTTTTCTTCTTTTCCCATGGTCTAATTGCTTTTCCAGCTTCCTGCTTCCTTAGGCTGCTGTCAGGGAGGCTTTCTAGAAGATACAATAGAGTGCAACGACATCATGAGTTTGAGTGCTACAGAATGTGACACTTCATTTGATTTGCATCATGCACTTTCTACTGCTATTCAGGAGACCTCTGGGCTCACCCACATGAGATATTCTCAGGTGTCTCCTAGCAGGATACCTTAGTGCTCTACAGTGAAACAAACCACTTACGGTGGTCTATGGAGCAATGCATCAGCTTGTGCAAAGAAGTGTTGGATACCCCATCCGTGAAGACATTCAAGGTCAGGCTGGATGGGGCTCTGAGCACCTTATCGAGTTGTAGGTGTTCCTGTTCATTGCAGGAGATTTGGACCAGATGGCTTTTAAAGGTCCCTTCCAACTCAGACGATTTGTGCCTTGAGGCACAAATGTTTATTGTCTTTTTCTTTCCCCTTCTCATTTCACAACTTGCCTGTTGAGATGTAGGTCTTGTGCAAGAGTTGTTATGGGAATAAAGCCTTATCTGAAAGAAATATCTTCCTTTATTTGGATCAAATAAAAAAGAGTTTATTTCCCCTACTCTCCTTCCACTGCCTTCCAACCTCCCCCTCCCCAAAATAAACCAGTAAGAAAAGTCTAAACATACAACGAAAGATGATAAATTTTGGATAAGAACACTCCAAAGACCCTTTCTTTTCCACTTCAGTGCTTCAGACCCCTCCACAAATTGGAATCAAAGACACAACATGATAGTATCTGAGTTGTGACAGCATGGCAATCATTTTGCTGGTTCAGTCAGTACAGCTTTCAAAGACAACTCAGCCATAACTGAAATAGATCAAGTTACATTCTGATCACCAGCCAGACCCCATTAACTATCTACTCCTCTCCCTGCTTGTGAAGTCATGGAAACCA